GGATTTGAGAGGAAAAGTGACAAAATGGGAGAGATGACAACACCGAACAAAAAGGTGAGTCGAGTCTATCACTTCTGAATATTCAGTGTAGCGTTTTAACACAAATTAATTTCCGCAAAATTTCAGCGAAGTTTGAGACTTTATGATCCTTAGCCAGGTTACAAATAACGATACAAGATCGCCTCGGTGAAATTCATAAGTGAGACTTGATTTTACTTATGAGAGTAACTTTTAATAAAGACATTGCTACAAATCGGATGGATTCCCTACTGACAGTAGAATTACGGGTGCTGAAATGTAGCACATGAATAATCGTTTCCTGATTGACCCTACCGTAGTTAAAATGGTATGAGGGAAACAAAAAAATGAGACGCAGAACAAAAGCCCGTGAGAGAATTTATGGAATACAGGAATAATAGGTTCTATTCGACAGGCTCTTAAAGCGGAATTTCCGTGCATTTTCTTTTAAACAGCACGCTTGTGCTCTTTACGACGGTATTTAAAGTCACTCATTCTTGATTATGAATTATTTTTTTGTATACCGCATGCAGTGAACAGATATGCATAGCATCTTACTGTGAGGTCGGTAATTATCAATGAAAAGACAAATTTGGTTTTCGAAAAGAGTACGATTATTTGCGTCGTGGAAACGGACCTCAGGCTGTAGATTTCTGGTAGGTCGACCATTTTAGGCGACTCAATAAACTACTGGAAATTAGCCAGTAGGCAGAGGATTGATGACGAAATAAATTACAAACTGTTGAACATTCGTGCTTTCCTTTCCTTCGTATATCCCTATATGCAACGGATCATGAATGTATTGTAAATGTATGAATATGACATACTGAAAACGACCATGTTTGCTGATTTTGAGTTCTCAAACTGGAAATTCTTTGTTTATTCACTAATTATACTAGTGTGCGAATCATATAAACAGGGAATTTTCATAAATCTTGTCAACAAATCGTTATCATCCTGCATTCAGGGTCGTGTCGTCAATCTTCTTCCCAAATTCAAATGAAACAAAATACACTGTAAACTAGATTTGTCAGACTTCGTCGTGCAACGGCTGGAGCTAGGATCCAAAGAGCATGAATTATATATCTTTGTAATTACCGACTGATATTAACACTTACTTCATAAAGTCTGTCTGATGTTTTTGTACAGGTTTCACCTTGGCCGCATCATTGGTAGCCTTCGCCATTGCTCGTTATGATAGCACGTGGATGCCATTCCCGAAATTCAATGTCCTGTCATGGTCGTATGCTATCGCGGTGCTCAGTTTTGTGCTCACTCTGGTCACGTTTTTGGTCGGTTTCGTTCGCTACATGTATTTAGATGCGGTTCTGGATGAATATCAAATCGCTCTGCTGCGTCAACAAGCCGATATGGGTGTGAGTAGTCCGCCAGTGAAAGGTCGAGAAGCTCCTAAGGTAGCATACGAACCTCGAGGAACCACAGCCCCGGGTTCGGATGTAGGACGTTATCTTAGTCACAATCCATACGCAGTGGGGAGTATTGGAGTAGACGGGGACGAGGACGCAGCTGTGGACGAGGAAACGGCAAATGCAGATTTTGACGAGATTGAGAGTGAACGAACAAACTCCAACTTCAATGGCTTGGATCCGCGATTCTCAAGTGGAAGACCTTACCCAGAAGAATATAGACCAATGATACATCATTCGCGAGGCTAGTATGGTTGAGAATTATGAACATGAACACCAAACTATTTCGAAACTATCCAAACGAGGAGTAGATGCAATGAGACTACAAGAAAAATTGTTTGTAAATTTTTTTACATGCTTGATGCTACTGAAACATATCCCTTCATAAATTCTTGAAAATGGTGATTTCACATACACCGCATTTTTTCCCAACAAAGATCCAAACAGATTAATCGAGTGATTTGTTTTAGTGAGCAAAATCAACTTGTATAAGATAAATACGTTGTAGAACAAAATGAAGAACCATTAACTTGAGCCTGGACAGAATGAGTGTCTATGTGCGTTTGTCTGCTTCAAGTGCATTTTTATGGCACATACAATAAATCACCATAAACGGGGGATTTCCTATAATCAAAGTCACACCATGAAAGAGATAACAGTCACGTAATATCTAGCTTATTGGTTCTGCGTTTCAAGATTGGAAGTTTGTATGTTGAGAGAAAGACAGAGAGTGTGAAGGCGTTCCACGACTTTGTTGTATGGAGATTGAAGTAGAGGAGTACTGGTTCTGGTGACCGAAATCTGGTAACGATAAGATGGGCGGGAAAACATTTCAGGAAGAGGAACTACCAAGACAGGTTCAGAATAAAAAATCTTAGAGCGTCAGTGCTAGAGAAAGAAATAATTAAGCAACTGTCCGACGATGAACCAATAACTACAGGTTAGAAATGAGAGAATGAACATCTATCTGCCAGATGGCCCATCATTGAACACGTTCAAGAGGGGAAGGGACAGGGGACGAGGTATAGTGCAAGAAGGAAGCTTAGATATTAAAGGGGAACAGCATAAGGAAGAATTTGCGGGAAATGCAACAAGAGAGATAGAGTCTATGGATGACAGTTGGAGTGGAATAGGAAGACAAGTGGAGGGGGAATGAATTGTGTTTCAGACAATTTGAAACGGGGATTTTGGAAGCATTGGACAAAACGTGACTGTCGTTGCCACAGGAAAAGATGTGTTCGAGATCAGACGATAATGACACATTAACTGCACTAAGGTCACGTTAGTTTGGGCAAGGCGAATGGTGCGGCAGGGAGGAAGCAGTGGAGGTTGGCGTTATTAGTAAAAGAATGAGTTGGGTTGAAAGACAGCTTCGCCAGTGGACCTTTGTATCAAACCCAGTCGAATGTTTTTGATATATCAAGTGAGATCAAGTTTTTTTCACTGTGGTTACCGAGTACAGCCGAACAGGATTGCGAGAAACAGCCCAGTATGTTACCGGTAGAACGATGCTGTCAGAAGCCACATTGGCTGTCGCTCAATAGTCTTGCAATTTCGAGGAACTCACGCATTTAGTCGGAGATGATGCTTTGCAATACTTCAGAGAGAACAAATGTCAGGGAAATGAAGCAGTTATTACTGGAGTTAGAAACTTCGCCACGTTTGGGAATGAGGAAAATTACGGCGTGTATTCAAGGGGTTGGGAAGTGGAAAGTTGGAAAGATAGAAAACACGGCGTAAACCAGTTGATAACTCAGGAGTACATATTTCGAGGTCAATGGGAAGAATAACGTCCAGACAGGATGATTTGCTTGTGTCTAGAGAGAGCAGTGCTTGAAGGATGTTTCTAGTGCTAATGCGAAGGAGGACAGGGTTGCCAGTGAGACAACAAGAGTTGGATAATTATTTAAGGTGGACTTGGCAGCAAACCGGGAAGTAAAATCCTAAGCTTTCTAGTGTGACAGATACATAGGATCACCAGAGGAATGGTACGGAAGAAGATGAAAGGTAAGAAATTGCGGGAAACTGCTTTTACAAGGGACCAAAGTGTTCAGCTAACGGTGGTGGATGGGACTTATTTTTCAGCCCTACGGTTTAAGAAGCGTTTTTCGGTTGTCTGTATAGCTGTCANGCTCCTAGCTTGTGCAAAGCTATGGTGGGGAGTGGGATTGGCGAGTGGTGTCAGCGGCGGAGGGCTCAGCGTTTTAGGCATGCTTTACGATCTCATCGGTGGTTAGAATCTTTGGGGGATTTGAGTTTGCTGGGTTTAGAAAATTGTGGAATAAAAAGACGTATTACTTGAAGAGCAATATCGTTGATGTCGGAAACAGATTTAGGAACGTTAAAATTTAAACAACAATCGTCTCATTTGGCTGAGTTGCAGCACCAAATTTACATTTGGAGGTCGTTGGCGGATCGGGGCTAGTAAGCGTGTTTCAGTAAGAAACAATGCAGTGATCCGATGAGGCAAGTGAAAGGAGAGTAGAGGTGGTTTAGAAGAGAGAAGGAACTGAAGTGAGAATGAGGTCCAGTGTACGGGCCTGATCGTCAACTTTATCAGACACAAGTGGGAGGAGGTCAGCTGGTTGGTTCAGGTTGTTGACTAAGATTTTTTCATTTTTACTTCCTTTTATTGAATACAACTTTCAGGAGGGTTGTCATACAACACAGTATGAGGAAAGTCAGGTGGTTGTGGTGGTGGGATTCGAACACAAGTCCTCCAGGGTGATACTTTGGTGACGTTACCACAGGGCCACTGTCGGTCCGAGACGAAATGTGTGGCTTCCATAGACGAAGTAACAGAAAAGTGTGTTAATCATTCCTGATTATGAATGTTGATTTTTCCTAAGGTGGGAAAATTAGTTTTGGTTTGTCTCAAATAAGTGTTTGTTGTTTGAAGATCAAAAATCAAAGATGAAGGAGTTGCCCATATTAAGAGAAAGATGTAGGACACAAAAGTAATAGGCAATCATGAGAAAACTGCTAGTAAACAAGCTCGTTTTTGGGGCTACATCAAATTATAAACACATCACAATTGATAATAAATTAAACAGGTGGTGAGTGGAGACGTGTATCTGCGAAGGAAATCAGAGTTTAAGAAGAGATTATGCAATTGCGGTAATTGACATGTTTGAGTGTGTATGTCCGTCCGTGTGCGCATGAGTGGAAAATGGATGACGGAGGATGGTTGTGAAAGAGTTAATGATTGGATGCGTGAGAGTTCATGAACGGAGCTTATAGCGCCAGATCGTACGTGGATAGCCATTGTGAAGCCATAGTGTTCTCAAACTAATTCTGGACGCGGGGTATATTTGTGAGTGTGGAGACGGATTGTAATCGCCTCGGCCGGCGACAAAATTCGGAACATGACGGCTTCGGATAGCCTTGCCTTTGTTTTATGCACACTCACGCATCCAATCATTCACCCTTTCAGAATCATTCTCCGTCACCCATTTTCCACACGCACACACACATAGACAGAGACATACACACCCAAAGTGTCAATTATCGCAATTACATCATCTCTTCCTAGCTTCTGATTTCCTTCGCAGATACACGTCTTCACTCACCACCTGTTTAATTTATTATCAATTGTGATGTGTTTAGCCGTTGATGTAGCACGGAAAAGGAGGTTCTTTGCTGGATTGTGCTATCAACTTTGTAATATCACGGTTGTTCTTGACAAAACAATAAGTGTGCAGTAATGAAAAGTCCCTTAAAAAGGTTACCACAGTCCCAGTATTTAGTTATTAACCATACAAGGCTTCCCAATTGGAACTGAGCTATATTTTACCCATTACACGAATACGAAATTCCTAAATATTACAACCCAAAGCACGAGAATATCATTGCAGTTAATTATTCTGAACACAATGTGATGAATCGAGGAAATAGCTCCCGGTTTGCGTAGGTGTTGCCCGATTTTTTAGTCAGATGTTACCTTGGAATGCATCATTGTTTCGAATTCCGTCTACGACTGTCTGATAGGTGCACTCAGTAAGGTAACACTCGACGGTCGAAACCGGAGTGCTAGACAATTGCTGGTGTTCAACACCGCGGAAATATCCATTGACTTTTCCCATTTGGATTACCTATCCAACTTAGAGAGACATAGTATACACCTGGTAGCAAGTAAGTTCAGTGTTGTATTCGAAAGTGTTGTTTGAATTGATCGTTTTGTTTTACTGCATCAATTGTGTTTTTATGATTGGTCTGTATAAGATTTTAACTTTGCACACCGAACAATTTGATTGGTCCAGGTTTAAATATAAACGCTTGTGATTCCCTTCCTGAATGTGATTCGTGTCCAGTGGACTACAGAAAATATATCGAGAGCATTTCCTGAAGAACCGACTTTTGACATGATGGCAGCGGAAAATGATGCAAAATTCCCAATGTCGGAGAGACTAAAGAGTCGATTGCAGGTCCAACCGCCGGCGTACATGGCTATAGAGGAGACGGGGGGATTGGCTGACAACTGCAGACTGTGGCGAACACAGTTTGGAGACTTTCGTATACAGACAGCAATGGGTCGCGAATAGAGTCCCGTACAATGGGCTTTGTTCCGTCACACGGTTGGTCCGGTTGCTCTGCCTGTCATACATGGATTTACGTACAGTTCGGATGAGGACCGTGCAGATTGGCAGGTGGTGATGGCGAAGATGGAGTGGTACTGTCTTGGCGAATCCAACGAGACTTATGAACGACAAGTTTACCACCAAAGGAGACGGCAGCATAGTGAGTCCCTCAGCGCATTCGTCCTGAAATCACTAGCTCGTTCGTGCAATTTCTGTGCCTGTCTGGAAGAGAGTTTAACAAGGAACCGAATTACCGTTGGCCTATGGGATTCTGCTGTGGTGAAGCGCCTCCTAAAAATTCCAAAGCTGACATTGAAACAATGCATCGACATATGTCGGAGTGAAGAGGCAGCAGACAGGCATATGGAGACGTCTACCACAACAGAGGACTGTGGCTTGTGCTAAATTGCCGCTGAAAATGGAACACATCCAACAGCTGCTTACCGTTTCTGTGGCGGCATACATCGGATGGTAAGAAGCAACTACCCTTCTTGGGGAAAAACGTATGATAACTGCAAAATGCGTAATTATTTTGCAGCAAAGTGTTTCATGAAGAAAGAATCAACTTCAGAACCTTACGTTCCAGCAGCTGATCGTGCCAATGGTGTACAACTACCGGTTACACGGAAAGGCATATTTGCAAAACTGTTGGTGAATGGAGAAGAAGCAACG